CCCCAAAACCCCAAAACCCCAAAACCCCTAAATATGACAAAGACGCTGAAATTGATATAAATTGCTAGGAATATTATTATTTAAATTTTATTTCATAAAGAAGATGGAAAAGAGACAGCAAGAAATCTCTTCAAGTACGTCCTTACAGTGAACAAGCTCTAAGCAAAGAGAAGTAGAGAAGAGATTTGGTTTAGCTAAAATGGATCAATGTTCTTTTATAATTTGATAGATCCTCTTTTGTTAAGATTTATAGTTCAAATCCCATTTTTATTGGGAATCTTAAATTTTTAATATCTTTGATATAATGTACATTAAACTATTTTCTATTTGGAATTCTTACTTCTACAGATGGGCAGTATTAATAATTTTAAATTAGGAAAATAAACGTACTCTAAAACTCTAAATTTGCTAGAATTTTATCTGCGCTTTATAGTTTTTATATTATTTATTATGGTATTTACAGTGTTTCTTTGCTAGAAATCATTAATCTGAGACTTAAAATATAGAGTTGGCCTTAAAAGATCAAATTTATTAGATAGATTTTATTTAAAACAGTAAGATGAGAAATAGCAAATCTCTTACCTTTTAATTCATTAGAAGTGGTTAGTTGGCATGGCTAAGAGTATGGTTTTTCGTAGACTCGAGGAAAATATTTTATTAAAATTTCATTCTGAAATCTGACAAAAAAATTCATTCAACTTCTTGTACAAAAATTCTTCAGATTTGACTGATTTCTTAGGTCAAGATGATGATTTTGGAACTGTTGAGAATATTATGGAAGGAAAAGGAGAGAATCTTTACAATTACGACAATCGAGGAAGTAGGACAGACACCCCAGAAGAAGATCAAGAATCTTCAAGCTATGCAGACTCTAGTCAGGAGGCCGTGGACACATCAAGCGAAGAAGAAAAATTTGGCTTATCTCTGAAGAATCATTCTAGATACACCAATGACGAACATAGGTTTGAGTGAGTCTTTCGTCTCCTATACTGCTATACATTAATTAAGGAAAAGTTGCATTACTTCTCGCACTTTAGTCAGTTTCTATCTAAAGTTTTAGAGCTAAAGATTTTCTTCAATAAGTTTACTCTGGTAATATTATTCTAGACAGTTCGGAAGGATACAAACCTTATCTGATAGTTCAAATTCAGAAGGTGATGAAGAGCCAAGAGAAAGGTCGGATTCAGAAAAGTTTAGTGAGGAGGATCAAGAAGGGCATGATGAGCCTCCCAAACAAGACATTAAAATTGATAGATGGAATATTTTGCTAAATAAACTCTCTGCTGAAGAAATTGAGTAAGAATTTATGCCTTTTAAGATTTAAACTGCTTTCTTTTTCAAAATTGACTTTCTCTAGGAAGATTGAGAGTGAGAACGATAGAATATGGAAAGGTAAATAGTTTTCAATATAATCATTTCTTGAAGATATTCCAATCTCTGCAGTTTTTAAAGAATAAGTTAATTCTTGTTTAGACGCAAATCAAGAATTTAAAAATCAGCAACAAATAGAGCAACAGAAAATAGAAGATGAGAATATTCAGATCGGTGATCGAATCTATATCAAATGATATGATAGATACAAAAAGAAAATTCAATACTTAGAAGTTTTAAAGTAAGTTTTTTGTGGCTTCCAACTTTCAAATTTTAAACTCTCCATCGTAGCACATCTTTGATAATCGATCCACTTGAGCTGCAGATCTTGGCATTATTAAGAATTCTTTTAGCATTTCTACTACTTTTCTCTTAAAGTCCCATACTTGGGAAATAAAGAAGTGATGGTTATTGACAAGAAGATATATGTTTCATTAAAACACCTTAGCTTTGAATTCTTTATATATTGACTTCTGGATTAATAATACCCCTGTTTTAAATATCATGCTTTAAAATTGTCCTTTAACTGTTGAGAACTTTATTTTCTTATTGTAATCACTCCTTTATAGTAGCAAAGGAGAGTGAGAATGGATTAATGAGAGGGAAAAAGCAGATTACTTTGATATTATTCCTGTAATAAATGGAGCACAAAATTCAATCACTAAGAGTTATCTAAACAGGAATACCAACCCAAATCCTGATGCTGAAGTTGATAACCGAGTTAGACAAGGATGGTATGAATCTGAAGTGCAAACTGTTGAGAGCAACTTGACTTATTTGGAAAAGGCTCAAAAATATCCTCTTAATCTGAACCAACCCTTTAGTTTTAAAAATGTGAGATGCAAGATCTATCAGTATTCGTTCACCTTGGATGACTCAAATGAGAATGTCAATGTTAAAACATGGTTTCTACAGGGAATTAATGATAATACTCAAGAAGTCTCTATTAAACCAAGAAATTCTTATTATTTGTGCACCATTGTTCACAATAGCTTCTATTATTTGAAAGCAAACTCAGATCTACTAGGTATAAAAGTCACCTTATTTTTAGTCAAAGAAAAAGAACAAGCAGTGCAAATAGAATTAAGTAATTGTTAGATTAAACTTTGCTTTAGATGTTAAAATTAAGAACCTTCGAGATACATTTGACAAAGGTAGGTCTCCATCTTCAGTTACATCTTAAGAGTCTTAATTCTCCCAAATAATTTTGAAAATCAGAGTGATGCCTACTTTTAGCATGCTAATTTCATTTCATAGTCCAGCAAAGGGTAAATAACAACAAACCGTTGATTTTATTCAACAACAAGTCTGAATTTTTGAATTTCAATGGGCTTTACTCCAGTAAAGATGATATGACCAAAAACACAAAGAGGGAAGTAATTGCATCAGAATATACCTCTTTTATGGATATACCTTTTCAAAATTACTTTGAGGTCCAATATCTTTATATCCAAAGAAAAATATTCTTTAAAACACGTCTCGAATATTACGACCCTTTCAATGGAACAAAGGACTCCAAATATTTAGGCGTGGAGAATGATATCTTAACACTGGTTGATCATTGATATCTCTTTGAACTAACAGATCTTAAGCAAGGGCAGATCTTATTAGGCAACCAACAATTTAAAATCAACATTTGAAATTCAGACATGCTTTTAAGAAGCGTCAATTCTCATGAGGAAGGAATGAGCAAAATAATAGTATCCAAGTTTGATCCCGATAAGACTGATGAGTTTTATTTTCACTTGAGACACGTCAATTACTTATATCTAACATCAAGAGATATTTGCTCTATTGACGAGAAGATAAGCAAGACTAAAAAAAATCTCTTAGAACAATACGACAGAAATAATTCTGAAAATACAGTAGACCACTTAGAGGAAATATATATTACAGCTAAGAAATTAATAGATGAGTTCCTCTGGAAAGTCACTTTTAAGGAACTCAATAGAGATAGACCATCCTCTTGGAAAAGGATGTGCATATATGGTATGTATCCAAGTTACTTTTCTTCACCTTAATTTATGTCTTAATTCATTGTTGCATAGGATACTTTAATTTAAATCTATTGAGCATTCTGAACAAAACATATCGCTTTGAAGTATTGATGAATCAAGTAAAGCAGCTAAGAAAGGATCTCATTAGAGAAGGAGCCGATCTGTATTACTTCCGTAAGACATCCCCAGTAATAAGTAGTTTCTAATCACGCTTCCAAATTTTGTTTAAAACCTGAAACTCTGATATAGATATGCCCCCAAAGTCTTATTATGCTGTTTGATGAGAATATATTCTAGCACTTGGATTTTGGGGAAGAAAGACAGGCTTTTCTGTTGTTTTAAAGAAGGCTAAAGAAGTAATCACTTTGTCCCAAGAATGAGCAGAGAATAATAATGATTCCAGGTATTCTTTTTGTTATATTTAGGCTGATAATGCTAATTCAGAGAATAATTGGAAAAAATTATAAGTTAAACAACCAAAATATTGCAGGTATTGTATTTTTTAATAGGAACTATTGGTTAACATCGCTTTGAAAATCCTCGAATTAGTACAAAAAATAATCTAATATTTAGCTTCTGATCCAAAAATTTATGAGCTAAGATGCTTCCTTCCTTTTATTAAATATGAGCTGGACAAAGGGATTAATAAAAGCAATTTAAGCATCCTGCTTGCAATTGTATCAAATAAGTACAGAGATCAGCATTGAGTCTGGAGCAATGAAGGGTTTAATTATGCTGTAATAAAGTTTATTTGCACTCAGTTGGAAGACAATGTAAATCAAATTGTAAGTACCAATAGCATACAATACCTTAAAATCAACAGAAGTTAGTCGATAATAGAGCTTACCAAGCCATCACCATTATTTAGAACTATTCTGATATTATTTTAGCATTTCAGCACCAAATCAACTTCAGAAGGGACAGCAGGACCTGAAATTATTTCTATGCATGATATGATACAAGATTCTTGTAATTATGCTAAGAGAAAGTTGGAAGATCAGACCTTTAATGAGGATATGTTTTTTTAATAGTAGAAAAAGTGCTTTTATCATGAACCATACTCAAAATAAGTTCTTTAGAAATCTAATGCTGCTTATTCTGTATAGTTATGGCATAAGATTCGGCTTACAGGATGGGAAAGAGCTTAGTAAGAAATGGAACCCCTTTATCATTGAGAATTTATACAATTCTGAAGTTACTTCTCATATTAAAGGTTTGTTGTTGAAACTGTATTGAAATATGAATATTGTATCAAATGAATCACAAAACTCTTTATTTAATAATGTAAATGATAGCATTAAAATTTTGAGATCAAGTATTGAAGTGCTAGAGTTTCTGCAAGATTCTTGCATTATTGAAGATCTATTTTACATATGAGAAATATTAGAATTCATAATTTGAATGCTTCATAATTCTCACTACACAAATGATGCACTTTCTGAGCTCAATAAGATGGATAATTTAAACCTTTTGATTCAAGTATTAAGACGTTTATCTTCTGTTTTTATCCTAGCTAAGCCGTATGCTTTTGATTCGATTCTTAATACTAAGTTAGATGATCATGAGTTAATGCTTGCAAATGAGGCCGCTGTTAATAACTGTTGACATGAGGTTGATGTTGTATTAGAATCCTATCAAAAAGAAGTAGTTACAAAAATATTTAAGCTCTTCAATATTATCATAAACATTAAGAATTCTCATAAGCAGAAAGAAGAGTTTGAAGGACACTTTCTCTATCTCCCAGACATTATTTCCAACTCTTTCTTATCTGACAGCATAGAATTTTCAGATACTTTGCAAATGATAATCATTAGATGGATGAATTTTGATCTTGAATCTCAAATTTCATCAGAAATTTTCGATACTCTGCTTCATCTTGACTGACAGTCAGAAGAACTCTCCAACAAATTACAAGAAGAGAACAACCTTAATGGGGAAATTTCAGATTTATGCCTAAAAACTCTTCCATTTTTCACTCATCTCGATGAAAAGGATGCAGAGATTGTATTGAGACTGAACAAAAGAATAGTGGAAATAACAGAAGATCAGATCAGAGCTTTTGATTCTAATTTAGAGCAATCTTACTCTTATGAGGATCAAGCCCACATTACTCGTAGTTTGATTTCATTACTTGCTACCATAAATGGGCTGCTTGACTTTAAAGACAATATCAAAGAAGACTGCATCCAAATAGTCAACCAGTTTGTATGCAACTGCTATGAATACTTAATCGAGACAGCAAGGAATAAACATCTCGCTCAGCTAATATGGGCCTTTGACGGCAATTTCTTGGCAATTAATTGGCAAAACCAGTTATGAAATAGCAAACACCAACGACTTATAGAAGAAGTTTTGGATAATAGTAATGTTGAGAAATTAAATTTGGACTCTTGAGATTTACTGAAGAAGATAGCATCAAATCTAGGCCAGTTAATTGAAGACAGACAAGAGTTGATCAATGGAGATGTAGATCCAGGATTAAGAAAAATGTATGGATTTGAGAGAAATAGAACAAAGAATGATCAGAACATATTTCAATATTTTATTAAACGGATAGTCCAAAATGCTCAAGAAGACAGTAACCCAAATGAACAAAGACTTGGAATAAAAAATGAAGATAATTGGAATCCTGAGTTAGAAGTATTGGATGATAATACTAAATCATGATTCATAAAGTGCATTATTGAACTCTTCCTTAGAAAATTGAAGACTGATACAGACGAGTGTGTTGAGATAACAAGAAAGTTCCAACTGCTTATAAACAAGCTGTTCCATAATATTGATACTTTAGAGCCAGCTTTTGATACACAAAAATATATTCTTCACAGCTTAAAAATGCTGCATGAAATACTTGATACTGACAAAATAATGGAAAACTCTGAAATCTCAGAGATGTTTTTCACAAAATAATGCCTTCAGTGTTATATTCTCATTAATTTTAAAGAGCTATAACTATCTTGAGTGTGCAAGAAAGATGCGTCAGTCTGCTCTTTCAATATTGATCAAATTAGCTAAAAAAAACATTCAGTCTTCAAGGAAAAGTTTCAGGATTTGGACTTATTCTAATGACAACATAAACATATTTTTTAAAAGAATCATCAGACTAGCGTCTCAATTTAGTATTTACTTTATTGATGAGCATATAAGTGATTCTCTCAGCATAGACCAGGAGGAAACTGACTATCAAGAGTTTATTTTATCTCTAAAATGGTTGATGAAACTGTGCCAAAACAATCATCACTGGCAGAACTACCTCAACAAGCAAGATAATATCGTTAAAAATCATAATATCCTTGTTTCGATAGTAGAAGTTCTTCGAACAGGATGATTAAGGCTTCATCATGGCTATGTAGTTGATCTTTTAAGAGAAGTCGTAAAACTTATGACAGAAACCCTAAATGGAAGAAATGAAGTTTTAGCAAGCCTATATGTGAACACTGCTGTGGTTCAATACTGCATTAAAATTTTAGAGGCTGAATTCACGAGAGTTGATTTACAATTTGTTAGGAAAATCAATAAAAGTTCTCACTTCAAAATAATGAAGAACATGAGTGAAGAAGACAGACATGATTTTGAGATGGAAATACTAGAAGATAAGGACTTTATTCATGACCAGAGAAGTATGAGTCTTACTTTCAGACTAAAGTTTATATTTTTTCGTTTTATTAGTTGGAATAGTTTTTAATTTAGATATTGTAAGAATTTACTTGAATATCAAAATAATTAAACATTTATATAAAAGGAAGACTAAGTTTTAATATTATAGTAGAGTGTAATTTAAAGACACAAAATAATCTTAAAACCCAAGATTTTTTGCCAAACCATGGCATAATTTAGAGTTTAACCCTCATTTTATCTAATATTTATATAGGGTTTAACCAGCTCAAGTGAGAAGTATTATTAATGATTAATTGCCTGTCATTTTCTCATACAGAGCATCAAATCAAAACCAAAGAAAATTATGAGAGCATTAATAGTTTCATGATATTGAACTATGTCCAGTTCTGAATCTACAAAGACCAAAGATATACTTCAGAATTGTTTGACTCAAAGTCGAATCTTTCCAAGATATATAACATAAATCTTGGGTTTCAATGTTATTCATTAATTTCTGAATTGTGGGACAACAATGGACAAGATCCCAGCAATTGCGTTCAGCTGGCTGATCAACAAGGCTTCCTCGCGAAGTATTTAAAGTTATTTAGAGACTTATGTTTTAAAATTAATCCTTTCAGGAACAGATATACTCCTATTACAGAAGCTGATTATAAGCCATTTGAGAAGCAGAAGAACTTAGCAATACAAGCTACTAATTTCTATGATAGTTACAGCTCTAGTATTGAAATAGTCATGGCTGATGGACAAATTGTTACAAGATATTTTGAGATCGTTTCTCCTTTCCTATTATTTACACAAGACGAGAAAGATAAGTTCTGGCTAGATGCTAATCTTGACGATAGCAAAACTACAGTTAATTCGTTTGTCAAGTATACTGCGGATAAAATAGAAGAGTTATAGTAATACAACAAGAAGTGAGGGACTACTTCTTTTCCATTGGAGATACTTCAATAAAGAATTGGCTCACAGATATAATAATAACACTAATATTGGCAATTAATTTCATCCTTTTATTTGCTCTTGAGATGAGTGATGGTAAAACTCTTGATAATCCAAGGTTGTTTGATATGGAATCTGGCTCTACAAAGATCCTTCTCACAATTTTAGGGGTTATGATTGTCATCCTCATTGGTTACACAACCTTGATTCAAGGGATTATAATGGTCAAGCTTCAGAAAGCAAGAGCAATTGGTAAAGATAATAGCACAAATAAATTAAGAGCGCTAAAAAGATTCTTCCACGTAGTTTTGTATATGATTGAAAATATCGAAGAGACGCTTGGTTCAAGAAGCATAGGGATAATGCTATTGTGTTTCGGATTCTCTATTGCCGGCATCATTGTTGATTACTTCTGGTTTGCATTTACTTTGATTTACCTGGTGATAATCTTTCCACAAACTGTTGGAGTGATGATGGCTATATGGCAACCAAGAAAGGAAATACTATTTACAGTTGCAATGAGTGCAATCGTTTTATATTGGTTTGCAATTATAGCTTATGTCTATTTCGGCGATGACTTCAATAGTGCTGTTGAAGGATCTAATATGACGCTGATAAGATGTTTTGCTCTAGTGTTTGATTCATGGTATAAATATGGGCTGGGAGCTTTCTTAGCAGATAATGGTAAGTCTGCCATATTTAATGAGGTTGGGGATGATAAACAATACAAAATTAAAGGAGCCAGAATAGGATTTGACTTTATGTTTTTCTTCATTGTTCCTACATTGCTTTTGAGCATTCTGAGTGGTATTATAATCGATAATTTTGGTGAAAGAAGAGCTCACAACAAATATATTGAGCAAAGGAGAAACGATCAATGATTCATTTGTGGAGAATCTGCAAGTGATTTGGCCGACTTTGAAAGGCATTACAAATTTAAGCATAATATTTGGGACTATATGTATTATATGGGCTATCTGAGACAACTAGGGAACAGTAAAATAAAAGATTATAGAGATATTTATGTGACTGAATGCATAGAATCTTACAGAAATGATTGGTTCCCTGTGTATCAAGAGTTTGTTAAAAAAGATCTAAAACATAAAAATAAAGATATTCTTGGAGAAACTATCCCTAAAAAATTAAGTTCTCAAACCTCCCAAGCTCTCCAGACCTCTTCTTCATCCTCCTCTGACATTCCTCAATCCTTACTCACCCTCAAGACTTTGCTTACCCAAAAAATCACCAACCTTCAAGAAGAAATGAACTCCAAAATCTCATCTCTCAAATCCATGCTCGAAGAAATACCTACTGAAATAGATGCTTCAAACACTTAATTCCTATAGTTCAACATACAAATCCACCTCTGGGGTTTTGGGGTTTTGGGGTTTTGGGG